GTCGGATGAAAGGGTCGTTCAACCCCCAAAGGGGTCGTTACCCACAGGTTGAGAACCGCTGATCTCAAAAGAAGAGCCATTAGTGGAAGGCATTTGAGATCCCTGAATGGATAAGTGTGGTGGCAGTGGTACTGAGACCATGGAATTGAGCGGTGGACTTCTCCGCCACAGAATGAGTAAAGGGGAATGGTTGGGGGCAAGAGGCTGGTTGCAGAGTGGGGTATCCTTTAGGGTGCTAAAGATGTTACATAACACTTAGCTGAAAGGAGGAGGATCAGAGAGAGAGATGTGCCCACTAGATGACGGAGAAGAGGCGCTGTGGACAAAATAAGGCCCCGTATCTGTAACCATTTGTAACCTTGTAATGTCTCTAATACACCCCATGATTTTGAAGATAGTAATGAAGATGCTAGGCCACAGCCATTGAAAAGATGGGATGGGGAAGGCAGGTGGCAAATGAAGAGAGAGCACCTGCACTAGGTAAAGGAAAGAAAGAGAAAGGTTTAGTCAGCACCTACTGTGTGCTGGACACTGTGCCAAATACAGTAACCTCTGAAGGTGGTGTTCTACCCAGCCTGAGATGACGCAGCTGGAGTTCTGGGCCATGAACGAACTGCCTGTAGTCATATGACTGACGGATTACCGCCAGGATCTGACCCTGGCTCTCTGAGACGCCACAGCACAGGTGCATTCCACGGCATCACGATGCCTCGATGTCTCTCGAATGGAGACAGAAACACAGAGGGACAGAAGCGCAGTGGTCAGCTTGTTCTGAGATCACCCGTGGGCCTCCTCGTGCTGGGGCTGAGGACTGAGGGCTCTGCCATTGCCTTCTGTTGTTGAGAGTGTACGCCACAGTGCATGCATCACCTCAACAGTTTCTGCATTCAGCATAACATCCTCTGAGTTAAGCAGCCATCCGCACGCTCCTCCTTGTCCTTCCCCTGCACCCTCTGGTTCCTATCGAACCCTTAGAGTTGGTGGTGTCATGTGGATAGTTCTTAATTTGCTAAGCTAAACTGGTTTTCAGACGATTTCAGGGGATAATTTTGGTTTAAGATTTTAATAAATTTAAAAAGATTTGAATATTTAAAGAAACTACTACTCTGAGCAGTCGGTTCAGGGGTTCAGCCAGTCTCCCTGACTCCAGAAAGTCTACATTCCATGAGGATTTGAAATTCTGTTCTACATTTTCCCCCATTTGATTAGGATTCTTCCTCCCCACCCCCAATTCCCCCCACCCCGCCAGTTTTGTCAGCATATAATTCAACTATCATGCTATTCAGTAGTCCAATCTGATCAGAATCCTGGGTATGTTCAATTCCGTAGCTGGGCGTCACCCAGCGATGAGGGTCTCATAACAAAGGATGCAGTTGTTCAAGGGGCAGAGGCAAAATAACCACACATTTCATATTTTTCTCTTATCTCTGAATCCTCCTTGACCTTTGTTGCAAAATGATGACCTTACGTGGCCACTGACACATTTGCATTGTTCCTTCTTTAAAAAAAACAACAATAGTTTTCTTTTTTTTTTAATTGGAGTGAAAATATATACATATACTCTCCACTTAGCAACATAGTTCTATAACTCACTCCTCAACGGTCCTTCCATAACTACTGAACCACTGAGAATCATGACCCAGCCAAGTTAATGCACCCCTCTCATTTCACACTTTGGTGTTTGTTAATGCCCAACTTCCGTCCTTAATGTGCAGCAGTAGTAAAGGAGGGTAGGTATTTTACTACTGTTGGATTACAAGGTGGTGGATAAGTGGGGAGTAGATGCACAACAAAACATGTGCATCTCAACAATTGCTGTACGTCTAATTTGGGGACATTGATTACATTCTTTACATTGCACTTGCTATCCTTTCCCAAATTACCCTCCACACGAACATAAACTAAGTGCCCTTAAGCAAAATCCCCCTTCCCGCCTCTCCCCTACCCCTCATAGCCTCAAGTCACCTTTGGCTTCTATGTATTAGCTGGTTTTGAATAAGCGCGATCCTGTCCTGTTTGTCCGGATGTGACTGACTGACTGGGCTCATCACCCTGCTTTCCTTTCATCCGGCTTTTCTGGGTTTACTGACTCTGGCGCCTCACTTGTGGCGGAGTAGGGCCCCTGCCATGGCCTCTTGGGAACCTCCCTCCTATTGCTCTTCAGCTGCTCTCTGTCCTGGAGGCTGTCTGCAGAGGGCCCTGGTCACCAGGGAATAAATGACCTGTGGTCAGACTGTGACCTGAGGATTGGAGGAATCCAATTCCATTGGCACCGTGAGGGCTGGCTGCCTGCTCTTCACAAACAGAAGCCTTCTCGCAGAGAGCCAAGAAACCAGGGTCTTAGGTAGCTTTGCCCTATTTTCTGATTGACTTTCGCTCTAACACTTGGAGTGAGATTTTTAGCATAAGACTATTAATATATTAAATTGAATCCTTTTCTTGGTTCCCTGACATTTGCATGGAATCTTAAGAAACTGGTGATGCAGCCGGTTAAATGTGGGGCTGCTAATTTCAGGGTCAGTGGTTCAAATCCGCCAACTGCCCCATGGAGGAAAGATGAGGCAGTCTGCCCCTGTAAAGATTCAGAGTCTTGGCAGTCCTGGGGGGCAGTTCCCCTCTGCTCTGTAGGGACATCCTGGAGTGGATTGTGACTCGCCACCAGTGAGCGTTGGTTTTGTGCCAAATCTGCTTGGATATTCCTTCTTCCTCCTCCCCACATCTGCTGTGATGATGACGCTTTGTGTACTTGTTGGGGCCTCGCCCGGTAGGGTGCATATTAAATTGGAGGTGTTCTGATTCACCTTGTGCTCCCCACACTGCCTGCTGGAAGGGAATCTCCCATAACAACAATTGAGCTCTTAAAACCACAAGTAAGGTCACATCGCTGGAACGTTGCCATGGTACTAAGTCACCCTGCCTTCGATGTCACCCCAGATGGCTCATTCTTTTAAGTACCAAAACATCCTTAATTACAGGGCAGACCAAGAAAGCAGAGCCCTCCCTACCCAGCCAGACTCCCTGCTGCTCTGGGGACCCTGTGGCTTGCTGGCCTTCCGATGTCGATGGCCGCTCTTCACCACTCCGATGTCACTTCAGAATAGAAGGCGTTCTGTGGTTCTGGAACGAGATGATTTCCAAAACCACAGTTGGGGTGGTGTGACTGGAATTAGTTGGGGAGTAGGGACTGTGGGAGATGAGTTGTGTTGAGTGTGGTACTGAACCTTTCTCGGCCCTCCTCCCTTCTAGCAAGCCAAACTGCAGCAGCAGATGGACCTGCAAAAGAATCACATTTTCCGCCTCACTCAAGGATTGCAGGAGGCTCTTGATCGGGCTGACCTGCTGAAGACAGAGAGGAGTGACCTGGAGTATCAACTGGAAAACATCCAGGTGAGGGCCAGCCAAGGGGGAGGTCGCCACCTGAGAAGCGCCTTCAGAGGGCAAGTGGTGGCTGGTAGCTGCGTCGGGGAATCACCCAGCTCTCTGTGATACACTGATTAGCTGTCAGGAATTCTTTTGCCTTTCCCGAGTATTTCATTATAACATTTCCCAAACATTCGGAGACATTAGAGGATTTCTTTCCACAGTAACTACCACCTGGATTTTACAGTTAACCATTTGTTCGTGTGTGTGTGTGTGTGTGTGTGTGTGTGTGAGAGAGAGAGAGAGAGAGAATCTGAAAGGACTTCAAAAGGCTCATGGAGAAATCTCTTTTTCTTACTATACACCCCTTTCAAGCCCACTCAAAGTACCCAGCCAATTCTTCACGGATAATCTGGTGGAGCGGTTTACATTCTTTTAAGTTGTGTGACTGCCCTTGCCACCCTTTTCCACGTGTTTCCACCAGCAGACACTGCCCTCTCAGCTTCTCATCTCACCTTTCCAGGTGGAGCTGTCCGCTTGGTCACACTGCTTGCTGAGCACACTGTTCAAAATGTTACTGATTTGGCTAACTTATTGTTTGGTTCAGAGCTGACTGTGGGGAAAAGTTTGGGATTGAAGTCTCTGGTTTGAAGATGGTCTCGGGGTGGTTGTTTCAGGCTGTCATCCAGCCTCAGTGGCTCCAGAGGGTCTGGATTCCATTGAGAATTTTCCCTTCTGTACTGGATTTTTTGGTTTTGTTTTCTCATCTGTCTATCCCTTGGCCACTCCATCACACAAGAGAGAAGAGCGGCAGTAAATAAACAGATACCGACTCAGCGCCGTTTGTGTGGGATTGAAAGTACCAAATTTAAAAGCAGACATCTTTCTGGGTCTGAGCCTATTTTTGTTTGCATGGATTTTAGGTTCTCTATTCCCACGAAAAAGTGAAAATGGAAGGCACTATTTCTCAACAAACCAAGCTCATCGACTTTCTGCAAGCCAAAATGGACCAACCGGCTAAAAAGAAAAAGGTGGGTCAAAGCGTTTGAAAAGGGGGTGCTGCCAGGTCCCCTCAATCATTAGTTCCACAGACTTCCACTAGGACAGAGAGGACAGTCTTGGCTGAAGAACAGGCTTGGGGATTATTAGAATCGCCCTTACAAAGGATACGTGTGCCATCCTTCAAGCGGTGTAACAAACTGCTTCAAGTTCACGGCCTTCACCACTGCAGGCTCTTCCTGTTACAAAGTCATCTTAACTAGTTGCAGAGTGAGGTAGTATGCAGAGAAAAAGTTCATTCGCTGGTCACGTGTATGGAGGTGCTGCAGAGGGGACCTGGTGGGGTTAGCAGGGCTTGGCTCCTGTCTCTGAAGGACGCTCCGGCAGCATGCATGGAGCTCAAGGCTTTGGAAATCTGCTGGCCCCATCCCAGTGGTTAGCTAAGAAGGTGCCCAGGGCGTGAAGTGAACTGTCTGCAGTGGCTGCCTAAATCCCTGGACCCTTCATGGGGCATGCACCACCCCATTTAGAGTGTAGCAGACGTACACTCAGGGGCTGCGGGGAGGTGGGGTTGTGGAGGGGGGTACTTGCATTGCTGAAGGCTGTTTTCAATAAGCCCTATGAAAGCCTGCCGCCCATCTAGCCCCATGCCCTCTGTGTAGAAAGGGCTCGGAGGAGTGTGCCTCTTCCTTCCAGAGGTGTGCCCGCCCCATGGGAGCAGTGGCTCCAGTTTCACAAGCCAGGCCTCAGATGACTGGGATTACTTAGGCGGCCCGCTTAGTCCCCTTGCTGTGTGTTCTGAGGGGGCCAGTAGCATGTTCAAGAACAGCCTACTCCAAAGGGGTGGCCCCCGGGAAGGGTTTGCTTGCTGACTGTGTGAGCTGTGTATACATGTGCTTATGACCATGTAATCTTTTGTTTTTACTTTAGCAGCAGGCTGTTCTGTGCTTATCTCACTTGATCTGGCTAAGGTGTTTGTTTTCTTGTTATTTTTAAGTGAAAAAAAAATTGTTTTTTAAGTTGCATTATTTTGTGTGTTTTTGTTTTTCCCACGTATAGGGACTATTTCCACTTGTATATATTTTAGAAGTATGCTGCCATATTGTTCAGACATCCTTTCAATATTACACTAAAAATCTTTTAAAATTTACTTTGCATGTCATTTTAATTTCTTTTCTTTCCTTTTTTTTTTTTTGGCTTTTTTTCCCACATCATTTTTTAAGACCCTCATCTCCGTGTCTTGCAATTCAGCACCATGAGGCCAGCACACAGGCCAGGGTGGCTCTGAGCCATTGCTCCTGCATCCGTCCTCCACCTCCATTTACTGAGACGCAGGACGGTCAGGATGGGCCTCTCCCGGCCGGGAGCTCTCAAGGAAGAGGCGGTGGTGATGCGAGTGTCTCTTTTCCTCCTACTCCCCCAATTCCCCTTTGATAAACACCTCCAAGCCCCTCTTTTGTTTCAGCCAGCTGGAATGGGCTATGGCTCGGCCTAACTTTCCCCCCTTCACATGCCATTTTTACTAAACGCCCTTGCAGTGAGTACGCGCCTGGCCTCAGCTGAGTCGGAGTCCCTTCGCTGGTCTGGCGTGCCAGTCTCCAGGAGTTAGGAGATATCTCTGTTTCCATTGCTAGGGTTTATTTAGTCGACGGAAAGAGGACCCTGCTTTACCCACACAGGTTCCTCTGCAGTACAACGAGCTGAAGGTGGCCCTGGAGAAGGAGAAGGCTCGCTGTGCTGAGCTTGAGGAAGCCCTCCAGAAGACCCGCATCGAGCTCCGGTCGGCCCGGGAGGAAGGTAGGGCTGCTCCCCACCCACCAGCTCAAGGCCAGGGAGAGGCCGGGCTGCTCTCCGTGAGGCCGGTCCTGGCAAACTCAGCATCTGGGCTTGTGGCCCACAGCTCTCAGTCCAGGCGTCTGAGTCCGCAAACCCTCTGGCATCCTTGACATTGCCTGGTTGGCATGACAGGAGCCCCTTCTGGCCTCGGGTCTTTAAAAGGCAGCCCAGGGGCATCCTCCTGGCTTGATTCCCTTGGCGACCCCACTAACTGGCAGGCGTTGTACTGGTCTCTCTACAGCTGCCCACCGAAAAGCCACTGACCACCCGCACCCATCCACGCCAGCGACCGCCAGGCAGCAGATTGCAATGTCTGCCATTGTGCGGTCCCCCGAGCACCAGCCCAGTGCCATGAGCCTGCTCGCCCCACCCTCCAGCCGCAGAAAAGAGTCTTCAACTCCAGAAGGTATGTTGGCAAGGGCCTGCCTAAAATGCAAGGGTGTGCTAAAAGGACAATTGACACAAAGGGACGAGACAGTTGATACAAAAGAGGGACGTCTAACCTTCCCTCTCCAAGCCCAGCCTCTTTCCATGCTCAGACTTCCCCTCACTTCTGGACTCTGCTGTCCCAGAGAGCATTTCTACATTGTACCCATGCTGTGTGACTCTCCAGCTCTGGTATATATATAAAATCTTGGGCTTTTCTGGAAGGTCACTGGGAGTGCTGAATCAGGCAAAGACTGAGCCATTGCTCCTAGGAGGCTTTCCCATGTTCGCTGAGAAATAGAATGCAAAGATCGTGGACTTTTTCCACGGATTTTTGAAGCCCCCTCGTGCAGGGTTAAGGTCCTGTGAGCATCTGCATGTTTTTGTTCACTGATCAGTACACAGCCTTATTTTCTGTGTGTTTCCAAATCCAGACGCCTTGTTTAGTATAGATTGCTGATTCATTAACATCAAACTCATGCCAACAGCACTCTGACTTGTGCCTGAGTGACGCTCATCTCACACGTGTCTCCGCTGTGAGGCATCGAGCCTCTCACCCCTAGGGGCGCTAGCCATACTTCGGTGCTGCGCGTGGGTGTTGGTTTTAAACTGTGAAACAACCAATGAAAAGCACAGCAATGTAGAAAACGTGATAGCAAGTAGACTGAGGAGCTGATGGTGGTTTCCAGCCTGAGCCCCGCGTCCCACCTCGTCTGGAGACCTGCACACCCAGGGATCACATCTTTGACGGCCCCAGGCCTGTCTGGGGATGACCCGGGACCTGCCCCGAGGGCTCATTCTGGAGGACAGGTTTTAGCCAGTAGGCGGGTTCGTGAATCGGAATCAACCAATAATGAGGATCGACTCCACATTGCAGAAGTATGAGAAAATATATCTTCACGTGGGCGCCTCACAAAATTCGTGTGAAGGGTCCCATGCGGATTTTCACAAACGTTTGAAGCCCCCTTCAGAGATTTTTCAGCCCAGGTTAGTATAGCCTTATAAAGGTTTTTCCTTAATAAAAGTGGCAGGACAGCGCAGTGTACCCTGTAAGATGACCTCTCCTTTAGTTGGACTGTTACTTTAGGGTCTTTCCTATCAGCACACATGGATCTTCCTTGCTCCTTTAAAGGACCATTCACCCGTGTCGTCAGACCTTGGGGAGGGGGGACGGGAGAGGAGGACATTTGGACTGTTTCCATTTCCTCGTGACGAGAAACGCCCTGCAGTTAGCATCCTGAATTTCTCTGCTGGTGACTGGGTTGAAGGTTAGGTGAATTTAGAGTGTTGGTACTCTGTGTCCGTTTATATTCCTACCACCAGTGAGCCGCCTCTGCCACTTAACAGAACATTTCCAGGGCTCCTCTGTGCTATAGCACATCTCAGTGCTTTGCCCTTTTTGAATGGCTGAATAGTATTTCGTTTTGTGGACAGGCCACATTTTATGTGTGTACTCATTTGTTGATGGCGTCCATGAATAATGTTGTTGTAAGCAATTGTGTCCAAGTTTGGGGATAGACATTTTTAATTCTCAGGAGTAGAATTGGAGGAACGGCCAAACTCTTTCCACCGTGGCTGTTTTCCGTGTTACATTTCCGCCAGCACTGGGTGAGGGTCCTGCCAACACTTATTTTTATTTGGCCATCCAAATAGGTGTGGAGTGGGATCTTGTTGTGACTTGGATTTGCGTTGTCTTAGGATTAATGGCCCTGAGTGTCTTTGCATCTGCCCAGTGGCCATGTGTCTGCAGAGTTTAGGCAAAGTGTCCATTCAAGAATTTTGCCCAAATTTGGTTGGCTTGACTAAGGCTTTTTGGGTTTGCTTTTTTAGATATATGTATATATTCTGAATACAAATCCCTTTAAAGCAGTGGTTCTCAACCTTCCTAATGCCACGACCCTTTAATACAGTTCCTCATATTGTGGTGACCCCCCTCCTCCTCACAACCATACAATTATTTTAGTTGCTACTTCATCACTGTCATTTTGCTATTGTTATGAATTGGGCGACCCTGTGAAAGGGCTGTTCAACACCCAAATGGGTCATGACCCATTGAGAATTGTTGCTTTAAAGAGTCATAATTTGCAAAGATTTCCTCCCATCTGTGGCTCATCTTTTTGCTTGCTCAGTGGCCTCATTTGGATTGTGGGTGCGGCACTCTTCAGGGAAACGACGGGGCTGCCCCTATAAAGATGTACTGTCCATCTAGGGGTGCTATGGGTCAGAGGTGACTTGGTGGCGGGGATTTTTGGGTGTTTGGGATCTTTTGGTGGTGGTCTTGGTGTGAATGACTTTTCTAGATGTGCTTGTGCCACAGTGGTTACGTGTTCTCCTACCAATCGAAGGTTCTGAGTCAAGGACCTCCAGCCCCTCGGAGGGGAAAGACCAGGCTGTTTGCCTCTGTAAAGACTTACAGCCTTGGAAGCCCCAGGGGACAGTCGTACTCTACCCCGCAGGGCTGCCCCGTTGGAGTTGACTGACAGTCATGGGCATGACACAGTGTCTTTTCTGCAGAATTCAGTCGGCGTCTGAAGGAGCGCATGCACCACAACATCCCTCACCGCTTCAACGTCGGGCTGAACATGCGAGCCACCAAGTGCGCCGTGTGTCTGGATACCGTGCACTTCGGACGCCAGGCATCCAAATGTCTCGGTGAGAACGGCGTCCGAGTGGCCGCACGTGCCTGCAGAGAAGCCTGGCGGTGGAGGTGGGGTGGGGGCTTTTCTTCCCCTTCACCCAGCGCAGCTGCTTTCAGGCTCAGCATGTGCAGCAGGAGGACTCTATTTTTTCCCTGGTAAAGGAGCGAGTTTTGGCTTGTCCTCAGCTCCTGACTGCATCCCACTGAGCAAAAGCACCTTGGGAACCTGGGCTCCTTTCCAGCCTCCTCCTCGTCAAGGTGGTCTCACCCCACTCAGAGGCTGGCTGCTGGTGCCAATGGCACTGTTCCCTACTGTCCTTTAAACACCTGTTTATGGGCAGCCTGGGGAGAAGCCCGGGAAACCAGGTGGAGCGCTCCTGATGCCCACACGGCCCCTCTCTGTCGGAGGCTGGCTGGAGAGGAGATGCCCTGAGGGGGGCTGGCAGAGGAAGGGAGAGGTGCAGGATGGGCCGGGCAAGGGTTCAGGTCACTCACTGCTTCTCCCCAGAGTGCCAGGTGATGTGTCACCCCAAGTGCTCCACGTGCTTGCCTGCCACCTGCGGCCTGCCTGCTGAGTATGCCACACACTTCACTGAGGCCTTCTGCCGGGACAAGATGAATTCTCCGGGGCTCCAGACCAAGGAGCCCAGCAGCAGCCTGCACCTGGAGGGCTGGATGAAGGTGCCCAGGTAGGGCCGGAGGGCAGCAGGGCAGGGCAGGCGCTAGCCCAGGCCTCCCCTGTGCTGGCTGGGGAAGCAGCTTTGCTAGGATTCCCTCTGCGGCCCAGCCCACCTTCTTCAGACTCCTCCGAGCTCCAACATTTTCCTTTTGGATCTTGATTTCCCCAGGAATAATAAGCGAGGACAGCAAGGCTGGGACAGAAAGTACATTGTCCTGGAGGGATCCAAAGTCCTAATTTATGACAACGAAGCCCGAGAAGGTAAATGGACGAGGCAGGGGGTGTTCCTCTGCACCTGGTCAACCCAGGTCTCCAGTGCACTGGGTGCTGGAGGCCGTCGTTTTCGGGTTTTTTTTTTTGGGAAGCCTTCTAACGGTTCTCCCATTTTTGAAAACTAAAACCCCAATGACTTTTTCTAAAGGTTATTGGTCCGATACTCACACCTATAGGTCTCCCCTCTGAGGAACCTGCAGGGTGCTGCCCTGAAGAGTCTACCTGCTAATACACCTTCCGAGAACTTCTGCCTCAGTCAGCTAACCCATAAATCCGCATCGCCGTCAGAAATTTGACTGTGCTGCTCATCTGACGCACTTTATTTTTCTTTATCTTCCCTCCCCGCCCTCTCTGCGCACCTCTCTCCCCTCTCTGCTCTCCTGTGCTCCGTCACGTGCGCACTCTTTCTCCTCCACTCCGCTCCCCCTGCGCCTCTCTCTCTCTCTCTCTGGTCTCCCCTTGTTCTTGTTCCCGCTCTTTGGTTTTTCTTTCTGCCCTTCCTCTTTGCACCAAGCTGGACAGAGGCCGGTGGAAGACTTTGAGCTGTGCCTTCCCGACGGGGACGTGTCTATTCATGGTGCCGTTGGTGCTTCTGAACTCGCAAATACAGCCAAAGCAGGTGAGGCTGGGCCTGCAGGCGGGCTGGGTCCGAGGATGTGGGAGGGGCGAGGGTGGCCCCAGCGTCTGAGTCTTGTTAGGAGCGGTGGCTCTAGATCTCAGATTTTACATCTCAGCTATCTAAGGACCATCCTTCATGGTGGCAGTGGTGGGAATCCTGGCCTGTGCCCTCTGTGACAGTCTTAGATGCCCTCTGCAGGTTGCTCTCTCTGTGACCTACATGTCCACCCCCACCCCCACCCCACGCTGTGCCCTCTGCGACCCTGCTAGCTCTCCCTCATCTGCGGTGCTGTCTGTGACTCTCCTAGATGTCCCGTACATACTGAAGATGGAGTCCCACCCACACACCACCTGCTGGCCCGGGAGAACCCTCTACTTGCTAGCTCCCAGCTTCCCTGACAAGCAGCGCTGGGTCACTGCCTTGGAATCAGTGGTGGCAGGTGGGAGAGTGTCTAGGGAGAAAGCAGAGGCCGATGCGGTGAGTATGCCTGCGGGCATGGGAGCTTGGGTTTACAGAGCAGGGTCTGGCCCAGTGGTTGTGTGTTGGCAGGCACAGTGCCCGTTGGGGCCCCTTGGCAGAGGGCTGACGGCTCAACACTGTGCTATGAAGGGGTTTTGAGGTGAGGTGGGGCCAAGTTCCCCCTCAGCAGCATCGAGTACAGGGACCTGCAGCAGGAGGCAGTCTTGGGGGCACAATAGGTCTCGGGGCAGTACATGCACTTAAAAGGAATCCTCCTGTGTGCGTGCGTGAGGTCATGTGGACTGAAGTTTGAGACCCAAGCACATTGTCCCTGAGGCTCCATTTAAAGGCTGCCCGTGGCTGTGACCCCTCAGACGGCATTCCACTGCCTCTCATCCCTTGGCAGTGGTTCTTCTGCAGGAGGCTTACGGACCTTTTTACTTTAAGGTGTTAGAAATGTAGGTATGACTTGATTAGCATCCTTCCACCCAGAACGCTCCTGGTACAGATAGAATTCACCCAACGCCTCTCTTAAAACACTTGGCTCCTAATAAGCTCTTAGGTGTTAGTGGTCAGAAAACCCTTCCCCAGGAGATGAGTGTTTCTCAGTGGGTAGGCTGTGCTGTCCACGCGTGAGCCTCCTACTGAAGTCCCTGTTACTGTGTACAATAGGCCCGGGGCTGTGTTTCCGCCGAGCTGCTGCTTGCATGGGTTCAGGTAAAGAGACTGAGAGCCTTGCTGGGCCTCTCTTGAGACCGTGCTTAGCACTGTTGCAGTCTCAGGGGAAGGAGCCTTCCCTGTGCCTTATTAACTCTCTGCCGGGCAATCCGTGTGAGCTTCCACCCATTCCGAGCCTGGACTAGCTGTGTCTGCTCCTTCACTTACTCCTATGTCCACGTGGGTGATAGCTCCGGTGCTAATTAACACCTGCCCCGGCGATTCCAGTCACACTCACTATCTTGCCCTGTTGAGTTCAGGTCGAAAAGCAGAGCAAGCCAAGAGCAGACATCTGTTTCTGAGCATGTGCACAGGGCCTTGCCTTTCTTCCTGGCGTGAAACTTCTCTCGGTTCTTGCTCTTTTCTCTTTGGAGGGTTTCACCATGAAGGGTGCCACCTGACCTTGGTTCTTTCTCTCTCTTTCCTCCTGTGTCCCTCCCTCCCTCCTTCCCTCCTATGAAAACAGAAATTACTTGGAAATTCACTGCTAAAGTTGGAGGGTGATGACCGGCTTGACATGAACTGCACGCTGCCCTTCAGCGACCAGGTGAGGTGGGCCCGGCACTGCCGGCCAGTGTTGGGCCAGAGCCACAGTCGTGGGCTTTGTGGCTTGGCTGCCCCATGGGGTTTGTCTGGTGACACGGCTGTGCTTATGGTCTCCCTGTGGATTTCTGCCCCTGCAGGTGGTGTTGGTGGGGACTGAGGAAGGACTGTATGCACTGAATGTCTTGAAAAACTCCCTGACCCATGTCCCAGGCATTGGAGCTGTCTTCCAGATTTACATCATCAAGGACCTGGAGAAGCTCCTCATGATAGCAGGTGTGAGGCCAAGAGCTCTCTCTGCACGTTGGTCAGGAAGGAGTGTAAATCCGAAATGAGTGGAATCAATTTTGTGCTTAATACAAGGAAGACCCTTGTGGTCATCCAAAGGGCTCTGTGCTCCGGACTTGTCAGGGCCGGCCGGGAGTCTCTCTCTGTCCGGATTTGAATTTGTCTTGGGCCTCGCTGAGTACAGTCCACCACCAAAGAAACCTCTGACCATTAGGCTGAGTGGAGAGTGACCAACCTCAAGAGACTCCTGAGAGTCAGACCTTCGGTCCTAATTGTCAACCCCACTGTGGGCCCTGCCCTGCCCTGGTAGCACCCAGATTTCCATTGTTCTCTGAGCTCCCTTGGCCTTCCACTTGGATCCACCAAGTCTTGCCATTTTGCCACAGTCTCTGCTCTTGCTCTCTCTGTGCACATGCACGTGCTGTTTGTGTCTGAACCTCGCCAGTCAGTTGCAGACGTGCTAAGACCAAGTTCCGTGGCGTATTATCTAAGCCCCAGGCTGTCCTCCCACCTGGTTGTGGATTCAGGAAAGGTAGTCCTGGCTATCATACAGTGTGTTAGGCCGGGTGCTCCAGAGAAACAAGTAGAGCGACACTCATCTATGTATAGGAAAGAGCTTTATATCAAGAAAGAATTATATATCAAGAAGGCATCCCAGCCAAGTGCATAAGTCCGATGCTAGTTCATAAGTTCCTCTTCTGACTTGCTTAGCTACAGGCAGGCTGCTGACACACAAAAAACGAAGCAGGAAGATCACAAGCTGGTGGCTGCAGAGACATGTGACTCTGAGGTCGGTGGAAACCTGGCAGGACACTGACAGCTCTCAGACTCCCGGTGGGTGGCCCACATGGGGCCACCCCTGGAGGCAGGCAGCATCCCAGCAGGCAGCAGGAAGGAGGAAGGGCAGAGGGAGGGGAAGTTCCCTGTGTCTGTCAGAAGGCTCCACTCCACCCCTGCACCAAGGAGGTATCCTCCGGCTGTGACCAGGTGGACAGGTTGGGCTTCACCCCTGCACTACAAATTCAAATGGACGTGAACGCATCTAACTACCACACACAGTTACCTGCCACACTGTTCATATCAACCTTTACCAGTTGCCCCCCCAAGGTACTTTCCTCTGGATTCCTTGTACAGCCCCGGAGCATGGTTGTCAGGCCGCTCTGGCCCTTACATTTTGGGTTCATTCCTCAGCCTTGCCTGATCTGTCACGACACTGACATGCTTGAGGAGTCCGTCCCCTGTCCCCCGTCATGTCCTAGAGCAATCTCTCTTCCCTTCGTCTGGGGGAAGTGCACTCTGAAAGTGCAGCTGACAGTCCACAGTCCTTGATTTTATATCCCCGACTCTTGAACGGAAAGCCAAGTGCTGTCGTTTCAAATCTAAAACTTGGACCCCAAACAGGACACCTGTGGATGCCCAGTCCACCAGAGTGGCGTCCCGTGGCTGGCGTTTGGGAAGGCACCCTCCCGTGCCCTCGCCTCTCGGCTTCACGCTGACAGGGGCGCTGTTCCCTTCCCTCCAGGGGAAGAACGGGCTCTGTGTCTTGTGGATGTGAAGAAAGTGAAGCAGTCTCTGGCACAGGCGCACCTTCCCGCCCAGCCAGACATCTCGCCCAGCGTTTTTGAAGCCGTCAAGGGCTGCCACTTGTTCGCTGCTGGCAAGGTAAGCCTCCCAGGGCCTCTGCGGCCCGTGCTCGTGAAATCCTCACTGCTTCGCTTCCCACAGCGCTTGTGATTTGGCCTGGAAAATTGCATGTCTTCAAACTGGGTCAAATTTGTACTGCTTCCTGTGGGCACCTGAAATAATGTGTGTAGCCATGACACATGCACAGGCTGGGACTCTACAGGAAATGGATGTCTGAGAGGGAAAGCGGAAAATGAACACAGCTGAAAAGATGACCCATGGTTTTGTAAAGAGTGTATTAATTTGTCTGACATCCTTTTTGAGAACAGGGAGCCCTAGAACTGTATCGGATAGAAGGATGTTTTATTAGCTCAAATTTAGTAAATTCTCATCTGCAGCGTTTACAGCACAGTAATGCATTGAGAACTCCAGGTCAAGCGTGGGTAGTTTCCAGCAGCGCGAGGGCCAGGCTTTCTCCTGTTAGCGCTGGGGAGAGGCCCCTGTCTCCTTTCAGCGTCTGTAGGCTGTATTCTGTGGAGACGTCCATGTGTACTGTGGGTCTACCTGCAGGTCCAAAGGATACCCTTCACCGGTGACTCTTCTCTGTTGGTGGTGGTAGATTCCTCTGCACTCATCGCATGTAAACTGAAAGGTGTTGCAGGCCACACCCTAGGGAAACTCTCCTTACGTCAGATCAGACCTTCCTTGATGGGGTTAGGTGTGTTGTGTCCTATTCTTAATCCTCTTACAACTGTTATATCCGATGACATCATTGGGCATTGTTACATAAGTGCTTCATTGCATCATTTTGCAATTGGCAAACCACTGACAGTCATGGTGGTGTTAGGTGGGTGTCTTAAGCCATCTCTGGATCCCTGTGAAAGACCCTTGTTCTAAAGCTGCTCCCAACCAGGGGTGGTCCTGTCCCCCAGGGGGCATTGGGCAACATCTGGAGATATGTTTGGTTTCACAAGTAGGGGGTTGGCTCTCTAGCCATCTACTGTGTAGACAGAAGCCAGAGATGCTGCTCAGCGTCCCTCAAGTCACATGACAGCCTCCAACCCAAAACTAGAGGCCCCACCACCATTACTGTAGAGATTAATCTGAGCTCCCATAGAAGAATGCCCATCAGAAAGGGGAACAAGAACAGACTTCAAAATTAGTGTGGAATACAGAGCTGGATAAAACCCCTGAAACGAATGCCCTGAGATCATCTTTAAGCCCTAAACCGAAGACTTTTGAACACCAGACAGTGGTTGAGTCGAGTTAGTAGAGAATGTCTGCCTCGAGCACTATGCTCTCTTAGACCTGTCTCTCTGGGGGTCGCGTTCACTGCAGCAGCACCTCAAACGGTTAGAGAGGAATCTGCAGGAGTTTTGAGGCCATGTTCACGGGGGCGGGAGGAACATCTCCAGAAAGGAGGGTGTGAATGATCGCTCAGCTCAGAGAACATCATGGATATCATGGGCAGAAGCTATTGATTTGGTTCTGCAGGAAATGTTTCCATCCCAAACAATGAATCAAATACATTCTTGCTAAAACAGTTACTCGCTCCACGTGAATGGTGCTGCCATCGAGAAACTACTCTAAACTGGATGCTCTTTTCCCAGTGTTTGCTGTTGAGGCAACACGTACACTAGTGGCCCCTCTAACTTTTCGTTTCTCCCGCTTCCCCCGCCCCGGTTGCTTCTTAGATTGAGAATGGACTCTGCATCTGTGCAGCCATGCCCAGCAAAGTGGTCATACTCCGTTACAACGAGAACCTCAGCAAGTATTGCATCCGGAAGGTACGGCCCAGAGGGGCGTGGCCCAGCCTCTCCCCCTCTACTGGGTTTGGAAAGCCTGCTGTGTCCCGGGAACAGCCTGGACCTAGGAGTCAGCTTTCTGTCTCCTCAGAGAGGAGGACCCTCCTCCTACCTTGCGGAGCCTCCAGAGCTCCTAGTAGCTGGACTTTCCAGCACGCTTTTCTCCTGTTCACTGTCCAGTCGCAAAACCAGCCATTGAGTATTTGAGGAAGTTGGTGTGTGAGAGACAGAGAAAGGGAAAGTGCTTTCTCTGAAAGCCAGCAGTCCCCAGTGACACATATCGGGCTCTCTCAGGGCGCAGAGGTTCCTTCCTTTTGATACCCTCATGGAGAAGCCAGGACTGCTTGGTTGGATGGGTAATGAGGCAGCTGTGAGGACGATCACAGTGTGGCTGAGTGCAGGTTAGAGTGTTGGATTTGCCTAACGTCCTTGGGAAGCCTCTGTTCCCTGGGTTAAGAATGCTCCACCTGTCGTCAGCCAGACTGACTGTCGAGGTGCTTTCGTGCAAAGAGAAATGAGGGTGGATACATAGGGCCATTCTGTCACGCCAACTCTGAGGCCGTGTGTCGATTCTGACTCATAGCATACAGTAGCACTGTCCCTGGAAGGTTGCCACGGTTGTCCGTCTTTACAGAAGCAGACTGCCACCTCTTACTCTCGGAGAGCAGCCGGTGGGTTTGAAATGCTGACATTTTGGTTATCAACCAAGCAACTTAACCCCTGCCCCACCAGGGTTCTTTATTATCAGTTGAGTTAAATCTCCATCTCTGGGCAGGTTTGCTATTTGCGTTTGTGTTTTGATCAAGGGCCTCCTGGGACCAGAGACTACGCCGGCTATCATTGTACAGACCCTGTTCCCGAGACTCTTGAGCAATTGGGGCTGGTAGTCCCCACTGCTCAGTTAAGGGCGACTGAGGCACAGAGAGATCTCAAGCTCCAACGTTGAAACCCAAGCTGAACTTTGACTTTCCCATTTAGTTATGCCACACTGCCTGTTTCCTCATACTTAGTATTTGATCAGTAGCTATTGTATGATATTGATATTGCTGATTACAGTTTGAACTGTAAACCACAGAAATTCTAAGAAATCCTTGCTTCTTTATGATGCCTGGCTGTAGTTTTGAGTAAGGAAGTCTGGGTTTTTGAAGACTTCCAAACCCAGTGTCATCATGTCAATAGAGGGGTCAGGAGGCTGTAAGTCTTGATGGGAGCAGACAGCCTCTTCTTTCTTCCACCAGTTGGTTTCGTGGGTTTAAGCCGCCAACCTTGTGGCCAGTCCAATATCTAACCTACATTGGCAAGCAGATAGAGATGAGTATGGGGCAGAGAATGAAGATATGTTAACAGTGATGCTGGTACAGCTAATGTGGATTCGAACTAGAGATTCACACGCCATCAGAAAATAAAATTCAGACCACTGCTTCTGACCATGACTTCCGGGCTTTTCTCTGATGTGAAGGTTGTATTCTTAACCTTTCGGTCTTTGAAGGCTACCCTTTCATTGCAGTGGTGCTTTTCGCCCTTAGGGGGCTGTGCTCCCCCCTTACTTCTTAGTCTGGGGGACGGAGAAAGAGAGGAAGAGCTAGCAGGGTCGACAGTCACCGAGAAGAGCGGGAAAGGGACCTTCTTTGTGTGGCAGTGCGAGCGTGCCTGGTGGCACGTGTCTGCACCGCTGGCTTAGTGAGTCGGAAGCAGAGAGCCTGGGGCAGGGGCCTGGCCTGTGCTGGCGCTCCGATCCTCCTCTGCCCTCTTCCTTCCAGGAAATCGAGACCTCAGAGCCCTGCAGCTGTATCCACTTCACCAATTACAGTATCCTCATCGGAACCAATAAATTCTACGAAATTGACATGAAGCAGTACACGCTCGAGGGTAGGGCCCACCCCCTCGTCCCCTCCCTCTGGTCCCCACCCCGCATGTCTGCCAGGCTCACTGAAGAGCCAGAGATCATTCCTGAGGCTCCGCTTCTCACCTGCCTTTGCAGAATTTCTGGATAAGAACGACCATTCCTTGGCGCCGGCTGTGTTTGCCTCCTCTTCCCACAGCTTCCCCGTGTCCATGGTGCAGGTGAACGGTGCGGGCCAGCGGGAGGAGTACCTGCTCTGCTTCCACGGTGAGTTCCAGCTGCCGCCACTCAGCCTGGGTTGGGGGTGGGCACAGTGGGTTCTCCTGGGAATGGAAAGAATGCGGTTCCAGTGCCACCAGCTCCTCCCCACCGGATCTGTCCCACTCCTGTCTAGCTCTGTCCCTCCCCTCCTCGGTCTCTCACCGCCCTTTCTCTTCCTCTCTCTTCTCCCCTGCCTCTTCAGGGTTGCAGACCCAGTGTTACTCACATAGCAATAAGACCTGAAATGCCTCGCTGTCTGCGGCGAACCAGGGTCTGTTCATAATTTCCTTTCTTGAAGAGGAGGTATGCGAGCCCATGGTCCAGCCATCACCATTTACACATTTACAGAGGTCTGCAGTGCACATGCTGGCCTAGATTCCTCCATTCCCTTAGAGAAAGACAGACAGACACACACACACACACACACACACTGCCCCCGCACCCTAGGTCTCTGTCTCTCCCTCTGCCTCCTTGCCTTTCCTCCCCATCCCCAGCATCTCTCTATCTCCTCCTTCCCCCACCCACCCCTCCTTAATAAATTGCTTGTCAGGGGTGGTGCCGAGAAGGGCCTCGCTTTCAACAATGCAGAATTCTCTAGACTCTTCTTCCTCCATCACAGTGTGTGTCCTTTCTGCCCTACCTTCTGCTCCACCCCCCACTCCCGCCCCAAGATCCTAAACTCACGCCCTGGGCTCTTCACTCCCTGCAGAATTTGGGGTGTTCGTGGATTCTTACGGAAGACGCAGCCGCACCGACGATCTCAAGTGGAGTCGCTTGCCTTTGGCCTTTGGTAAGTACGGCAAGATGGAGAGGGCTCCCGTCTTCGTGCCCTGGGCCCTGGGAGGGAAGTGCTGATGGGCTTCCTTTGGCCAACACGCTGTGCTTCTGGATTCCATGAGACAGCAAGCGACATTGCTGGTGTCTAATGCAGAGAAACCGAGGCTTGATGAGGAGTGATGTGAGCCAGACTCGGGGAAGCTACCGACCCCAGTCCTAGCCTGGAGAACCTTGTGTCAGGTTCCTCATGTGTCTAGTTCCTCTTGTTGGAAAGGCAGCTGGAGCCTGTGGGTTTATTATTGCAAGTGGCTTCAAAGAGCGGCCACACCAAGGCCCGTGGCCTAGCTGCACCCTTTGAAATGGAATAGGTCCTAACTAGGCAGAGCACTGAGGCCTTGCCCATTCTTTTTCTGAAAATAAACAATGCTGTGATGAATGTCCTTGTTGATGCTAATCCTTGTGCACCTAACAGAGAGTACCCGCTTAGGATTAGTCTCTAAAAGTGGTTCCCGTGAGCACACACAGATCTAAGAATGTGTGTACATGTCACTGCAAATATCTTGGAAGAGCTTTTGGACCGAAACATACCTTCTCAGGAGAGGTCTTGCCTCTCTTGCTACGTAACTAGCTGTTCTAGAACCAGTGACTTGGAACACAGCTACTCATTGCCTGTGGGCTGACTGGTCATGTTGGCCTCATGTGGTGGCAGTGGGCCACTGAGACAACTAGAAGATCTCCAGTGGGCTCGCAAATGCGGCAGGCAGTGACCGTTCATGGGAGCTCAGCTTGGCCTGTTGGCTGAGAGACCTCAGTTGCTCTCCACATGGGCCCTTTCCCTGTCGACCTCTAGACTTGCCCCAATTCAGAGGACTGCACACTAAAAGGCATTGAATGGGCTAATACCAAAGTGGTACCTCCCACCACCAAGACTAGTGCCCATCCTCTCTCCTTGACGGCAGGAAGCAGCGGAAGTCACGTCCTGTCTCATGGCACCTACCAGGTGATACAATGAGATGGTGTGAAGGAGAGCAGAGAAACCTCGAGCTTTTAAACTCATTTCTTTGTCATTTCATTAAAAAAAAAAATACATGCACCAATCAGGAGGAGGCAGGAGGCACAGTGGAAAGTCTCACCCACCACCCTCCTCCTGTCTCTTGCCTCCCCCCACCCCCCACAAAGACAGCCAGGCCAGGCATTTCTTACCCGCCGGCGCTTCCTTCAACTTAGAGCACGCAGGTGTGCAGAGACAGCGTCTTTGAGCCCTGGTCCGCTGGGCAGACTCCATGGTTGTGCCCTGACTTCTCTAACCCCCGCCTCCTCCCCACCACTGACTGTCTATTCCTTCCTCACAATGAACAGCAGGGCTGCCGGCAGCTTGGTGCGGCCCCGGGTGTGTCTGTATGCCTCTGTCCTTGGGTTGGCTGGGTCAGAGCGTGCATGACTCTCCGGGTTCACGCTCCCTGCCCCTCTTCTCTTCCATCCCACCCCCACCCCCATGCTCCTGCTCTTTGGTGACCTGCAGCCTACAGAGAACCATACCTGTTTGTGACTCACTTCAACTCGCTCGAAGTCATTGAGATCCAGGCACGGTCCTCTCTGGGGTAAGTACTGCCCTTCTCACCTGGATGGGACAGGACGCTGTGCTGTGCTGTGCGCATATCCCCCCCTAACCTGTGGGGAACTCTCCTTTGGGATTCCACAGGACCCCTGCCCGAGCGTATCTGGAAATCCCAAACCCACGCTACCTGGGCCCTGCAATTTCGTCGGGAGCGATTTACCTGGCTTCCTCCTACCAGGATAAACTCCGGATCATCTGCTGCAAGGGGAACCTTGTGAAGGAGTCTAGCACCGACCACCACCGGGTCCCCTCCACCTCCCGCAGGTACCTCCCACCATCCTCCTTGCAGGGCCCAGCGTGCTTCTGTGCCATGCACAGGCAATCCTGTTGACCTGGCTGAAGGCTTCCCACCCTCCCCTCTGCCCTCCGCAGACTGGCTTCCCTGAGCCCGTCAGCATCTAAAGTACACTGTCCTCCATTGGGGGCAGGAGGGCTGTGCGGTGCCTCACGTGAAAGCAGGGAGTGCATCACCTGGTCTCTCTGGCGGGTCTTGTCAGCGACAATTAGAATGGGGGGAGCACTGCACATGTATGGCTCTAGCTGATGTGTCACCATGCTGGTTCTGGGCTTGCTGCCAGGGACAGAGTGGGGGGCACACTGGCGGCTGGCGGGACGAGCCTGGTGGTGGCCAAGAGGAAGCCCTGGAGAAGCAGTGGGC